CTTACTCCTTTTAAACTAACTATTCCAAACACGCGGTAAAGGCTGATCTCGCAAAGATGCCAGTATCAGCTTAACGTCGGCTTTTCCTGCGAGGGGATGCCGGCTAACAAGTCTAAAAACTAATTTATTTTTCCAGTATGACGCCGCACAGTTTGAAGCACACTGTTCAATTATAGGGTTAAGCGCGGATCTCCGAAGCTCTATATCATCCCCAGAGTATAAAATTGTTGTAAACATTTTTCCTCCATTGCCACAGGCTATCGCCTCTAAAATTTTTTCAATCTCTCCTGCAAGCCGCATGGACTCAGCATGGAATAACTGACCATCTCTGAATAGCCGCCAGTTATCTGTGAAATGGCACCGTGTTATTCTCTCACCCATTGCCTCCCGACCTAAAATAATCGTCTCAGCTAGTAAACATTGGCTGTCTGCCGACATATTTAGTTTAATAGTGCGATCGACCTTTGCGCCATCAAAGACAATAGTCTCTTGTGGCAGCCAGTGGAGTGAAGTGCCTGTTTTAGCTTGTAAATCAATGGAGATTTTTGCTGATTTGGAAATACTTTTGTATAAACGTTCAGCCGCTTGGGTGGTTACGACTAAAGCACATGCCTCAGCTCTTAGCTGGATCTTCAGCTCGTCACCACCTGTAATCCCGCCAGCAGTATTTAAAATAACAGCTTCTTTCATTGCATCATAGGTTTTTGGCAATATTATTCTGGCGCAACCAGACTGGAATAAGCGTTCAATCTTGTCACCTCGCAATTTTAACTGCAGATCTCCTTTTGAGCGCTGCAAATTAAAGTCATTCGTCGGCCCATCCATTTTCTTTTATACCTCAACCAGTTTGCTCGGCTCAGACACCTTAATACTAGACTTGCACTGCCATGGACAATCTGTCCGCCCATTATCACATAGATCTTTCTGCAAGACGATAAGCAAAATCGAAATACTGCTCAACTAAAATTATTGCTATTTTATTTTGTGACTTCAGGTGCTCGATTACCTCTCCAATCTGAGTAATAATGTTGGGCTGAATTTCCTTTATGCGTTCATCAAGAATTTAACCCTAGG